AAACTCTTTTTTTTTTTTTTTTTTCTTTTTTTTCTTTCTTATATATATATTTTTCCTTCCCCTTTTCCACCCGTTGCCTTTTCCCATGCCATACGCCTCCCCCTGCCCCCCGCCCCCTTGCCGCCACCCCAAGCCCTCGGCTGGCCGAGGGGCTGCGAGGTGCGGGGGGGGTCTGGGGTTTGCGGGGGGCTTTGCATTGATGCATTGATCGCCCATGGTCTCCGCCTGACCTCCCTGCTCCCAGGGAAGCAGTCTCCATGGCTACTGGCCCTTCTCCTCCAGCACAGACTGTAAATTCCTGCAGGCAAAGCCCAGCCTTGGGGGTGCGAGGGGGGGAGCCGGGAAGGAGTAACCAAAGCCAAATAGAAAGAAAGAAAGGCTGGGAGAAAAAGGGCGTTGCTTGGATGGGGCTCTCCTTTCCACTCCCCTTTCTCAGGTCCCCCAGCACCAGGGCAAGGCGCCTGCTTCCCCCCTCCAGCGCTGCTGCTCCTGCTGCTGCTGCTCTCTTGCAAAACTGGAATTGGCTGGGATTATTTAAGGAAAAAAAAAAAAAAAAAAGGAGAAGGGATCAGAGCAGCCGCCAGAGAGAGGGCGATAGAGTCCACTTTCCTCCAACTGCCCTGGGTCTCCTTCCCTCACTCTCTCCTCTTTAGCAACACCAAGAGCCCCAAACTGAACCCAGAGCAGCTTTTTCCATCAGTTCAGTTCCCTTCCCTCCCTCTGTCTCACACACGGCAAGAAGAGAGCCCCTTCCTCCTCTTGATTTCCCTTCGCATGCTCAGCCTCTTGTTTCCTTTAAAGCACTAGAAATCCCCCCTTCTTGCCCCTACTCCTCCATGCAGACTGGGATTGCAATGGGAGCTTTGCAGATTGCTGGATTTTCCATCCTTTTCTTTCTCCTCCACTCTGGAAACACGCTGGCAAATAAAGCCAGTCAAGGTAAGAGAAAATCTTCCCAGCTCGAAGGTTTGCTGTTTGATGTGTGTATTAGGCAGCCGGTCCTCCTCTTTAGATCTGGGATTTTATATGCAGGCTGGAGAAATTAGCAGCAGTAACAACAAATAGTGGAGGGGATTTGAAATGTTGCTTGCAGATATTCTTGCCTGCTGCTGCCTTTGATTGGGGTTGTGTTTTTGTAAACTCTTTAATGAGTTGCATTTCTTACACTTTATTTTTTTTGGTTCGGACTCTTTATCTCAAGGCAGGGGGTGCAGAGGCAGAAAATTAGGGTGGGCAAACGAGTCTGCACCCATCACAGGGAAAATGGTGCTGTTTGGAGGGGTTGGGGGGGCTTTTCTGGTTTTCGGGTTTCAGTGTCTGTGAGATGGGGCGGTGCGGGCGAGGAGGGCTCCTTTCGGGCTGGGTTGGAGGGAAGGGGCGGCGGAGCGGGTATCTGTAATGCTGGGAGGTTGCATCTGCGTTTGTGGGTTTCACACAGGCGCGGGTCGAATCTCAAATGTTGTGCTATGGGGGTGTGGGCTGCAGAAAACTTCGGGTGGCTGAACACAGCAAAGCCTGAAAAATACGGGAGCTCTAAAAAAAACTCTAGAGCAGGGAGGTATGTCCCATCGTTATCAACTTCAGGCTTTTCTGTTTCACCACTCCCGTGTCGAGCCGGAGTTTCTCCTTCACAAACGTACACATGTAGCTTTATGTATGGTCTATCTATACCTTAGGTTTTCTATAGCACCTCTATATTTAGCTCGGATTTTTCTCTATACACACGCGCAGGAGTGCCTGCGCGCACAAACACACACAGCCCTATGTGCGTGATCCTGTTGGCTGTCTCGAAGGGGTTTTTTCTCCTTAATTCACCACTATCTGTACAATCTGTTGGGTTTTCTTTTTTTTTATTTTCCATAGCACTTAACAGTATGCAAGATTTATCAAAACCAGCTTTGGCTCTTGCTATTGTAGTAGCTGCGTGTTTATGCGTACGGCGAGATTAAATAGAGTGTGAATGAAATATAGGAGCGCAGGATATAATTAAAGATCTCTTGTAGGCATTAGTAATAGGCGTATTTCAGCCACGCGCATGGTCGCCCCGAGCCCTGTCACCGACAAAGTTAGAAGGAATTTCAAGGCTATTGTCTTATCTGGCTTAAAGTGTTTTTAAAACAATAGGCAACTTTTCGGGAGGGCAGTCTGGGCAAGCACGGGGGGAGATTTTCCAGGGCAAAGGTTTGGTGAGAAGGCGTCCAGCTTCACGTAAAGCTTTATGATTTAGGCTTAGAAAGGAATGCTTAGGTTTTTATCCCCCCTGAAATTATCTTGAGTGTATGCATTGCTTTCATTTCTTATCATAATATTTATTTATTAAGGCCTTTTGGTTTCCAGTTCCATTTAAGCCTGAGCCAGAATTGCATTAAAATAGCAAAGTAAAATTCCATCGTGCAGAGACTTGACAGATCCCTTCGGGGAAGGAGAGGGGTGGAGTGGGGGTGGAGAGAGGTGAGCTCAATCCTGCGCCGGGGTAAATCACCCACCGTACGCCTGGGACGGTGCTGGCTCCTCCCGGCCCCTGGCGAAGGCACCGAGCAGACCCAGGGGGTCCGGCCGCTCTGCACCCGGCGGGGGGCTTCCAGTGGAAATCCCCAAAGCTGCTGCTGGGGGGTTCTGCGGGCTGGTGAGGGGGAGGCGGCCGCAGAGGGGTGAAGGTTGGTGCCCGCGGGGATGTGAGGGCTCTGGGCAGGCGTGGACCCGGTCCTTTTTGGATGAGGCTGAACTCGTGGACCCGGCATCACTGATGGCAGATAAAAACCGTGCTTTTCCTAGGAACCCGCTATCGCCTGCTTTTCTGCATGCACAAGCGTCGTTGAGCTCTTCGAAGCCACCCCGTGCACCTGGGGCATGTTTTAGTAGGATATTTCTGAAAAGCATCGGGCATCCCCCCTGCATCTGCGGGGTGATGCCCTAAGGATGGGGTACACATCACCCCTCCGCCCTCACCGAAGCCTTTGCCCTTTTGGGGGACAGCCACCCTCGCCAGGTGACTGTCATGGGCTGGGAATGGCTCCTCTCCCGTCGGATGGGCTTGTTTTGCTGTGATAACATCGCACCATGGGTAGGGCTTGCTGGCTCACTTCTCGCGCTGAATTACCCCGGGAAGTTTAGTCTGTAGGGAAGGAAGGATTTAGCAGAGCCATCCGCCGGGCCTGGAGGGCGTCTGCCAGAGGACCTGGCTGGCTGTGGGGTTTATTGGGTCAGTTTAGGGCTAGGAAAGCTTTCAAGAGGAGAACTGGCAATATAAATCCAAATAACCCCGGGGAGGCTCCCGACACGCGCTCAGCTGGGATGAAGTCTCCCTGAGGTCCCCGTGCCAAGCTGCCCCAACGGCCCCAAGCTGCTGACCCACAGCTCCCCTGCTTTTTGGACAGATAATGCCCCCCCCCAGTCCCATCCCGTCATCCGTCAGTCTGTCTCACAGCCCGCCAGGCAGAAGAGCCTGTCCTGAGCGCCCACTCTCAGTGGAGCAGTGCCCTTGCCCATCATCTGCCGGCATCGGTCCCTCCCTGTGCCCTGGGAAGGATGGAGCCCAAGGGCTGGCAGCTTTGCACCCTCCTCTTGTACCAGGCGGCGACTGGATCCGGCCTTGCCGCGCTCCTCTGGCAGCACCCCCATAACTGGAGGCACGTCGCAGGATTCGCCACCTTTTCCCGCAACCGAATTGCACATCCCCTCGGACGGTGCCAGGGGAACGGGGCCGGGAGGGTGATGCAGCATCTCCCTGGGGGAGCACCTGGCACCCCAGTTCGCAGCCGCCCCTGGCACCCCAGTTCGCA